GTAAGTATGAACTCTGCTGAAGTTTAACTATAATCAAAGCTTCATTTTCCTGGAGAAGACGACACTTCTAAAATTAAATGAATTTCAAAGTGTAGAAAAGCAAAAAAAAAAAAAAAAAAAAGAATTGAAACAGCTGAGCTGTGCATAGTCCAGAAAACCATAGTTCACACTTTGCATAATCTTGTTAATATTCTACCATTAAACAAGACATTGGGCAAATGTGCTTTCCTTTCTTCAAATCCATTTTTTTAAATGTTCCCTTCATTTAAAAAGATGCAACGAAGAAAGATTTCACAAAGAGCAAGCACATTAATCCACTTTATTAGTACGGGTGATTACAGTCCTAATAGAATCTCTCATTTACAGGACTATTTTGTTACAGCATTTTTAGGAAAAGTTACACAACGATCACGATGAAAAAGGTGACTGTGAATTTCAGGGTGAAGTTACGGCCACGCTGAGGATAACAGCAGAACTTTCCTGAGTTCAAATAAGAGCAGAACGTTTCCTATGACGTCAAGCCCCTTCTTGTGACGACAGCCATCAGTCCTCAGATTGATTCATCACTGCAACACATTTCATCTTAATAAACTCATCAGAAACTTGCAAATTTGGGGCGGGGAAGGCAATCTTAGGTAAGAAGAATCCTCATCAGCAATGGAGAAATGAAACGCCTAGAATAGCCATTAGGCTACCATAGAGCTCAGGGTATCATTTAGCAGCATGCTCTCAAGGAAACAGCTGGTGAGGTTCATCGTTGCATCCAACCTCACACAAAAAGGTATTAAAATACAGGTGCATGTTTTTAAAAAACACACGCATTGTTTAAATGAAAGTGACATAATCTAGATATTGATATGATTATCTTATCAAAATTGTATTTATGCACACACACACACACACACACACACACACACACACCCTATCTCCCTAGGCTCTGATCATAAAACCATCCTTAAAAAAGTTATGCATCTGAAAAGCTTGCATAACTATCAACACGATTAGTGCACTGGTCATTTATACAGGCGAGTTATACAGCAGTCAAAGGGAACAATAAAATATTGACCTAAGTGTACAAGGACCATGGAGATTGTGGCCAGGTACAAACCTTTATCGATTCCAGCATTCAGCCTCCAACCATCTCCCCTGCTCCTTGAGCCTTCCTGAGACCACGGCGACCCCAAGCTGGGGGAAGTGCAGGCTGGTCCTGTTGTCCCGGTCCTGGGGGACTGGAGTGGTAGAGCAAAGCCCCCTGCGCACTTCTGACATCAAGGACTCCAAAGTGAGAAACAGGCAGGGCTTGTGGTACTGACTGAACACGTAGCAAAGCCCCCACCACTTGACATACCTGGGACTCCAGCATGAGAATCAGGTGGGGGCTTTGCGTTGCTACTCTGGGGAGAGCTTCCCCAGCCCTGGCTCCCAGCCCTACCAGCTTTAAATCACCATCTGTGCTGCCAAGCCTCTCTTTCCACACAACCCCAGTTTCCCATGGACCCCAGCACTATCCAGCAGCAGTTTAGAACCCAAAATAAACTCTCCTGGGAGCGACTCCTAACTGATATAACTCGGCTTATTTTTTCTCCCACGGCTGCCATTTTGGGTCAAGAAAAAGAACATGAACATTTGTACATCTTTGGTTTCTACTGGGAGAACGGTGACTTTCCTGGTAAAGTCCTGAACGACTGTACATGGCACGTGCACTTTCACAGCCAAGGTAACTCATCAGTTCCAAAGGCAGCACCTTCTGGAGGCACTACTCGAAGACAAGGCGAGTTTGTTGTATTCATTTCCATTCTTCATTTAAGGGAATTTAAAGTTGCTTAGAGTAACACAAACCTTATTTGGGAATGATGCTTCTTGGTATTTAACCAATAGTGAATGCAGTCATACACAAATAAAATTCAAAGAGCCAAGCCCACCAGCCTACGGCACTTCTGCATAAGCAAGGCCATTTTCTTCCTTTGCACTTCACTCTCTGAAGGTGTCCTGCAATCAGATCAGGAAGTGGCCATATATGGCAAATACATGAACATGAACTTGTTTAATTCTCAGGAATGTGCTAAATATTCATCTCAACTCCCACAGTTATTTTTGGATAGCTCAAAACATCTTTATGTTTAACAGCTTTTTTATTGTGAAAGCAATGCTGGAAAAAGCACGTCATTTTTTAAGAGGGATAAAAATGTAGCTGTGTAATACATACCATTATGGGTAAAAAAAGCTGCTGTGTAATACATACCATTATGGGTAAAAAATCCATAAAAAACTAATTTAGAAATCATAAGTTCAAAGTAGATGATGAATGTCAGGCCTGACGAGTATTTTTCTTAAAAAGAAAAGCAAAAATGGATAAAAGTAGTAGGTTTTCAAACTGGACAGCTGACAAAAAGAACGCAACAGTTTACAGAGCACACCATCATTTGAATTCACTAATGTGAAGAGCAATGGTGAAATTTCTGTAAAAGTTGTTTTTTTGGGTTTGTTTGGTTTTTTTTAATGCACGTGCATTCTGCCAGGCTCACACCCCCATATACATTTCTTCAAGAATAGGTATCACATGCATAGAGTCTGATCTGCTTGAGTAAGTAAAAGGTGCAAATCGGATATCACAGGCTAGGGGTCAATATTGGAGGCATTTTTTTCTCTGTCAAGAAGCTTGACATACGGGCTGAGGAAGCAGGTGAAAACTTAATCAGAGACATTTTTAATCAGCTCTTCACATAGACACCATTAGGTTTCTGCCAAATTGGCTTAGAAGAATCATGGTACGTACCTATACGAGTACTGCGCCATTCGAGGAGAGCCAGCAACTCGCACTAATGAACAGCTCCAGATATACAAGTATTTTCAAGTACATGCATAACAAAACACTCTCCACAAAATGTATTTGTAATAACCATTAAAAGCAAAGCATATGCAAGAAAACAGAATATGCCTAAGCTTCAAAGTATCATCTACATTTTTGTCTTCTGAATAGAAATGGCTACGGTTGAAAGGACTCCTGCCCCACTTATGTTTATTCCATCTGCGATGTTGCAAACAATTTCAAATATTGCACAAACACATGGGATTGCTATGAACTATTCCTTATGTGAAGGGCTACTAGCATTTCTATAATTATTTACTTCAAAACTTAAGTTTAGTGACAGTAAAAAAAATGCACACGGGCTCTGCCAACAGATGGGTGTTTTGGAGGGCAAAAGGGATGACCATTATATTTCCCTCCAATTAAAGAGTTTCCATCGTGATACAAGGACTGCATTGCTTACAAGTCCGTTACACCCCAGTCCTCTGCAGGCATCATTCTTCCTGGACTGAATAAAACTGGCGGGTAGGTTGACAACTTTATGAAAACTGAGCAGCATAAAAGCCAGTCACACAAGGGTTTACAGGGCAGATTCTGTGCAAGTTATGGAAGAACCTGATCAACGCATCAATTCCTTGTTCCACGTAAACACAGTATTTATCCTAAAGTATCAAAACGCAGGTGAAATTACTTGATGTGATGTGATACCGTGACCAACTTCAGCTTGAAAGATATCTGCTTCTCTAGACCATCTTACATTTAAAAAAACAAGCAAACACCGTGCTGAACAACACTGTGCCAAAAATATTTTAAATGACTTTTATGCTCTGTATAGCGGTTAAAAACCTCCATGCTTATTTCTGACCACAGATTAAATGTATACGTTCAAACACTGCTATCAAGATATGACAAGTAGGTTAAAAAAAAAACTTTTCAAAATTAATTTCAGAGAAAAAAGGTCTTGCATTCCCAAGCTTTTTCTCTGTACTAAAAAAAAGAGAAGATAAACTCTTCGCCTCTACTCTTTTAGCCAAAATGAGGCCAGACGGTCAGCCCTGGTATTTGTGAAATACAATACCAGATATGAAAAAAGAGGGTCCCTCAAAGCCAATATGCCCCTTACATTTCACAGACCATGGCAAGGGCAAGCAAAATGGACTTATGGAATAAACAGAGAAAGTTACTGAAAAGTAAAAAACAAAAACCAAAACAAAATAATAAAACCAAAATAAAAACACATATGGACACTGCAAAATTGTTTAAATGAGCCACAGTTTAATATGAAATGCAAGTTCTAAACAAAATTTCCTTATGAACACCAAATGCAATTTCAAAGAGCAGGAATATGTCAAGCAGAAGATTTCACCATAACGTACTGATTTGCTTTACAGCTGAATCAAAGGGGTCTGGGTTTTTTGGAATGGCTGTACTCTGGTATCCAATTATATAATCCGTCAACCTAATCCAATTAAATAATAATATACTGCTGAGTGCAAAACAAAAGAAATGTATGCAGCCAATTTTAGCGGTACTAATTACACTCTGATTTAAGAAACCTACTGTAATGAGTTCTTCTTCCCCAACTCCAAAGGCAAAGGACATTAAGTAGTTAAGATTTATGTTTAACAAGAAACTAATATTTCCCCTACTATTAAAATGTACCTCTTTACTCAAGCAGAACAGTTCTAAGCAACACACCTTTGCATTTCTCCCAACTTGTTTCTATCTCTGTGCAGCCAAGTGTCTTCCAGGACTTCAGAGATATCAACAAATCCAAGTAAGAGAGAAGTTGAGCTGGAAAGGACGTCCAAAGGACATCTAGTCCAACCCCTGCCCAAGGCTGGATCATCCCTATCCAAAACATCCTACACAAGCAACAATGTAAGCTCTACATAAGACTACTGTCAACCCTAACGCAATGCACATTTGGTTTAAAATATTACAAGCAAATCAGGTTTATGAGGTCAAAGGGATTTAGATAACAAATTAAGAGTGAGAGCTATAGCAAAGGACTCAGTTAATTTGTTTTAACATGCATTTAACACCAAAACAGAGTCTACCCGTTCTTCCTATGGCACTATAAATCAGCATGTCATTAGACATTTCAATAGCTCTTCATTTATTGTAAAACTACCAAAAATCACTGAACAATTTTTATAAAAAGTACAGCTGTGGATGATCACAAACAAACCTTTTGTGAGCTTCAGTCTCTCTCCTGGCTTGTTCTAATGCCAGCTCTTCAGCTATTCTTTTCTTTAGCTCTTCTTCATTAACTGCGATTAATGAAAGTTATAGAAAATAAAGATGTTATCAAAACACAGTATTGTTATCAATTACAGAAACAAAACATTTTGTAACATAATATACTATATTGTTTTCCATTTATTTTTCCTATCAAACCCAAAGACCTTCCAAAATTGAACTTCCATTATCGGGGGGAGGGAGGGGGGAATTGGATTTTGGATAAGTGATATTACTCTACACATTTTCAATTAATATACATACCCTCTCCTCACTCAAATCAGCTTGTAAACCTGAAATCCTCCCTTCATAGCCAAACCTACACTACAGATAGTAGACTTGAAAAAGAGCATTGGCCCAATAACAATTAGCAAACAAACCTTACGACTACCTCTGTCATTCGGGGATGCAAAGAGACGCATTTGTATATTTTTATTGAATTCTATTTTCCTATCCAATAGCTGGCAAAAGACATGAATAAAAAGCATCATCTAGTAAGTAAACCAAACCTTCTCCATTTTCTATATAAAAGTAAATACTTAAAAACTGAATAAATGTGTGTTCAGATATATAATTTTTTATATAAATGTGTAGAGAAAATAGTGACTCCTCCTGGTTGTCTAGAAGTACTAAAATTAATGGAATAGCTATACTAGTCAATATGTCTAAGTGCTTATACCAGCAAAGAAGAACAACCTTCCTTCAGGAAAATAGTTAGAAACTACACTTGTGAAAGAGGAATTAAACTAAACGAAAAATAAATGATTTACATCAAGGTTCCTGGCTGACTTCAGTTAAACCGCACTGCTGGGATAGTATGATATAACTAAAAGAGCTATGTTAATAGAGAATAGTGTTCTTCCTCCACTGGTAAAAGCACTCCTGATGCCAGTGGTCACCAACCAGTGGATCTCGACCCACCAGCAGATCTCGGAGCCTCTTGGAGTTGATCCGAGGCTGGGGTGGGGAGCTGAGTGCCCGCGTGCATGCATGCGTGCCCCAGCCCAGCAGGTCAGTCCGTCGGGGAGGGAAGGGGCAGGGGCTAGATCGAGGCCCCCGTGGTGAGGGACAGTGCTGCAGAGGCAGGAGCAGTGGTAAGTTGAGTGGGGCCCCAGCCGGATGGGACAACCTGCTGGGGAGGTGCGCCCCCAAATAATTTTCTCTCCCTCTGCCTCAATCTGCACCCCCACCTCCCCCTTTCCTTCCCCACAGACTTACCTGCTAGGCAGGTAAGAAGGGAAACAGAAAAATAAGACGACTGCAAACCGAACACTTTACGGCCAGCAGCTGGAAAACTATGCATAAACACAAACCAGAGCAACTTTAAAAACCACTAGTCCAAAAATGCCTCATGAATCTTCTGCGTTCTTCTGGGACCGAGCAGGCCGACCATCTTTATGCACTGTAGCAACCTAACCTCAAGGTGACAAATGCACAGAAGCAGAGTCTATGCTGGAAGGAAAAAAAACCATGCCTGCTTCTATCTTGGACCAGAAACACACCTGCTGTTTGATCTAGGAGCGCATCATTACAAAACCCAGGTCAAAAATAGCAGACTTGCACATGTTGTCAAGAGCAGAGAGACTGTCCTCGCCCAACATTCAAAGCATCCTCACCGATTTGGTCCCGGCTGAGCCTAAACCAGCACGCCCTCATCCTCCTTCAGATTTGATAAAGACAGTGGAGCTGTTATACTGTATCTATGCCAGAGGTGGGCAAAATGTGATCCGCAGGCCAGATATGACCCATCAGGCCACTATCTGGCCTGCGGGGCCCCTAAAAAATTTAGAAAATTAATATTTATCTGCCCCTGGCTGCCTGTCATGAGGCCCTCAATGGCTTGCCAAAACTCAGTAAGTGGTCCTCCGTCCGAAATAACTGCCCGTCCCTGATCCATGCACTTCCACTGAGTATCAAGTACCTATACAAGATACTAAGACTATCAAAAAAGCTACAAAATATATTTAGCAGAAGTGTCAGCCTCAATGAACAATGATCCAGTTGTCATAGCATAACGCACAAATCATCCCAACACATCAGTGAGCATTAGAAATGAAAAATCTAAGCAGTTAAGAGACTGCATTTCTACCCTTAAGAATGAATGCCACCCCTATAAAGGCCAAAATGAAAGCCATCTTATCTGCAAAATAATCTTGAGAACTCAGTCAGAAATGCTTGACCAAAGCTTAAACTAATTTAATCCCTTTGCTAGTCTCCCAAAACAGCTCCCCTAGCTGTGCTGAGCCACAGCAGAGAAACTTCCTCTCATTTTCTGCACATCTAGAAGACCTGTAAAAATACATTCACTGTTAAAATCGATCCTATTAGTTTTATCTCTGAAAAGGTATTTCAATATTTCATGTCATTTAATGCAGCACTCAAGAATATACACACATTGCATAACAATTATGCTCTCACCACCATCAGTATCATGAAGTTTATTGTTCTAATGTACAAAAATGAGTAAAATATGTCTAATGAACCATGGAACTCTCTTTTAAAGTGTAATAAATAAGATTCAGGTATCAGCCAATAAAGACGTGGCACATTTGACCTTAACAATCACTTAGGTTATACATCGATCAGCCAGATACTAATAGGAAATAAAACTGGAGCTGTAGATCATTAAATAGGATTCTGTTATAGGATACAAGTTGTATGGCTCCAAAACGAGACATGCCTTGGCAAAGACTGAAATTCCAAGAGACAGGCTACGGGCTGGGAGAAAAACAGCAGTCAAAAATGTCGTTTCTATCAAGACGAAGTATCAGAGATGCTAGATCCATTTCTAGGTGAAAAACAGAAAAGACTTTCAGCATCTGATGGCAATTTCTGCTCAGACCATATGACATTCAAAGTAGACAACTGGCAAATAAAGAACTGAAGAATTTTAAATATGTATATGTACAGGTCTGTTCATATAAATATCACCTGAAGACAGCAAGAAAGGAGCAGCTGCCAGAAACAAAAACTTTTTTTTTTTTACCATATAGTCATTGTGGCTCTTCGAGAGGCTAGTTAGGCCTGTGCAAAGTGGCTAGTATTCAATTTGGATCCGACCGATTTGTGGGACACCGGTCTCCCGATTCAATTTGGATTCGGAGATCTGGCCACTGAAACAGACCGAATCTCCTCCAAATTGAATTAGCAACCGAAGCTTCGCACAGCCCTAGTGCTGGTCCCAATACACGCACCTGTACATGCAGCATGTGCACCACTAGTTCTCAACCTTGTTAGACTCAAGGAACCGCTTGGACAATGCCAGCTCTTGGGTTTTCACTCATTTTCTGACTATGGAAGAATACTAGGCAAAGTGTTGTGTTGCAAAGACCACCACAGGTCAAAATAGTTTTGATGGGGAGGATACTTATTTGAAATCTCTGGATTTATCTTGTAAATGTCTGCACAGTGCTAACGTTTTGTGGCACCCTATGGCATCCTATGAAAGGATCTCAAGGCACCCTGATTGAGAATCACTGGTGTAAGCATAGACCCTTTTGACCATTCATGTGACCAGGTATGCATCCTACATCTCCCTATATTTCAAAGCAAGACCAAAGGGCAGAGTTGAAGCAATTTATTTCCTCACAATTTAAAACTGGTGTTATCTGTAGCTTATAAAACCTTGGATGGGGCAGGGGGGTCATTAATTGGATCTACCCAGACTGCATCTCAAAAAGCCAGTTACTGTGGGGTCAGTGAACATCCTACCTTTTTTTTCCAGTATGCTCCTAGAGATTAGCAGAATCACTGTGGATCAACTGCAGGGAACTGGTGAGTAGCATTAGAATGGCCAGAATAAAAAAATCCCAAGTGCCCCATTCAAAGATTAGATTTCCACTCCCTCAAAATCTCATGTCAGACCTAGCATACCAGGCAGACTGTTTCCCAACACCGTCTAGCAGATTCCCAAAACAGGCCAGGCTACAGCAAAGCAAGCCTCAAGATAGTGAGCAGAGTCACTGTTCTCCCAGTAGAAACCAGGAATATATAGATATTCAGCATTTATCTCCCAGAGCAAAACTGGCTGCTCTAAGAGAAAAATGAGCAGGGAACAACCATAGTTTAACTGCTTGCAGGAGAGTAAATGTCTGTACATTTTCTCTTCCAAGAGATGCCACAGCACAGTGCCCCAGCATCCCAGGGTGCTTTGCTTCCAGCTCTCCTCTCCCCCCACATCCCACCCCTCCCCAGGGAGACTGTAGGTTTCTTGGGCTAGATTCTATGTTCCAGCCAAGCAAGGAGCAAAATGCACCGCATTCACAATCCCCAAATTGTGCTGCAAGGAGACACAAGCTGACCCGAAGCAGTATGGGTCAGCCAATCAGAGCTGCCCTTTGCACTGCTGCCATCTGTCTCCAAGCAGACTGAGGGAGCCTGCAGAGCAGGATCAGCATTTGAATGTCTGTTCAAAAGGTCTCTGGATAAGTTCGTCTACCAGGAAGACAAACCTAGAATTCTCCCAGATCCTTTGCAAGTGTGAATGCAGCCTGTCTGAACCATTCCAGGCAAGTTTGTTTTAAATGTGCTCTTAAAAATTTCCAAGGATAAAGATCTCAAAACATCTCAAAACATAGTATATTAAAATTTAAATTCTGTACCCTGTATAGAAGGCAGAAGGTCACCCCCAGCCAAACCACAAAATAGGAGGAGAAATGGCAGCCCTGAAGAATACTCTATCAGATGACAAACCTAATGGGAACAGCAAATGAGAGGAGCTAAGAGAGGATATGGGGGAATCGGGCAAGAAGACCATAGTTCTCCACCCTTCAGGTCATCTGCAGACAACATGATTGAGGTGGGACTGCCATTCCCAATCCATATACTGCTAAGCTGTCTCAGCTGGGCTTTCCTGCAATTTGTGAGCCACTGAAGAAAAACAAAAGTTGGGGGGGCCTCCTGCAGGTTTATCTCCTAGTTCAGCTCTGCTTGTTCATGGCCATCTACTGTGACCCCCTCACTCCTGCAGCCTTGGTGTCATCATTAACTTTCCTTTACTTCTGAAAGCAGTTTATTTATTGAAGTTAAATCC